TGCCGCCTCAGCATGGCCAGACAAGCAGTGCATCGGTGCACGCCCAGGATCTGAACCCAGGCCACCAGCAGTGGAGCACGCGCACCTAACCGCTAAGCCACAGGGCCGGCCCCTAGGAGGATTTTCTTGATGTTCTACAAATTCTTGGTGATTTTTTCTGTATGTTTCCCATATTACCCTGTTTATATCTCTGTCACTGCCCATATCATACTGTCTTGTAATCATCTCATTATTTTTCCATCTTCCCCTTTCTCACATACACTGTTACATGTGAATTCCTTGAGGAAATCAGCCAGGTCCAGTATTTTTGTCCACAGTGTCTAGCACATAGTAGGTTACCAATGTTTGATAAATAGATAAGTAAATCAGTCAGTGAATTAATTTGCCTTGGTTAGAGACAGAAGACCGAAGACATGACATCTGAGCTGAACCTTGAAGGATGCTTGAGATTCACTAGGGGGAGAAAAGAGGAAAGAAAAAAAGCACTCTTGGGGCCAGCCCAGTGGTATAGTGGTTACATTCAGGCACTCCACTTCAGTGGCCTGGGGTCCACGGGTTTGGATCCCAGGCGCAGACCTACACACTGGTCATCAACCCATGCTGTGGCAGCGTCCCATATACAAAATAGAGGAAGATTGGCACAGATGTTAGCTCAGGGACAATCTTCCTCACCAAAAAAAAGAAAAGGGCCGGCTCTGTGGCTTAGCGGTTAAGTGCGCGCGCTCTGATGCTGGCGGCCTGGGTTCGGATCCCGGGCGCGCCCCAAGGCACCACTTCTCCGTCCAGCGCGAGGCCGAGTCCCACGTACAGCAACTAGAAGGATGTGAACCTATGACATACAACTATCTGCTGGGGCTTTGGGGGGAAAAAAATGAATAAATAAAATCTTTAAAAAAAAAAAAAAAAAGAAAAAAAAAAATTCTTGTCCAAGGCAGCATTATCTGCCAAGGCACAGAAACAAGAAAAAGCCCACTGTGTTAAAGATATGGCAAATCAGACTTTGTATCAGAAACTGAACACTTGTGGTAAATAAAGCTCAATCTCAGTATAAACATTTCCAATATTATGCTAGGCAAGTCTTAAGCTAGCATTGCAGAATTCATATAATAGGATCTGTGTGTTATTTTTTAGCCTAATGAAGCTTGGGTGGGTTGTAGCATTTAAATAACTCAGTTATTCCTCATCATACATGCATCTTCTCAATCCAAAGTTTTTATTATTTGAGCATCCTCAGAAATTTGAGCACTATTTTTTAGTATTTATGTGTATGGTAGGATGGGGGGGGCAAATATTATTGGAAACTTCCAGAACAAAGTTTTTTCTTTAGTTTCCAGAATCAAACTTCATCAAATTATGATTGAGTAGACTCCATACCTTAGGAATTCTCTAGAATGGAATTGCACAATAAGATATATGAGTAACTCGGGCATTAAAGAGAGAAATCAAGTGAGCTGATATTCTTTTCTCTAAATAGGCTGTCAGTGAGACCTGAATCAAATTCCTCCACTTCCATATGTCCAAATCTTGCAAAAGCAGAAGATAATCAGTATTCCTGTCCTTGGAACATTAAGTTAATTCATTCATTTATATTTTAAGCCACTATGTTATCTACAATTGTCAGTATCAGCAGTCTTTCAAACTTAGCATACAAAGTGTTCAGCCCCTTCTTTCCTAGAATATGGGAATAAAAAGAGCCATGATGAGGATGTACCACTTCTCTTGGGCTACTGATGAGGACTTAGAGAGGAAAAATAACCTGTGCTAACTGCTGATGTGTATGCCAACAGTTCTTAGTAGTTTTTTGTGGTGGTGGTGGTGGTGGTAACGTATACACAAGGTAAGATTTACCATTTTAACCATGGTTAATTGTGCATTTCAGTGGCATTAAATACATTCACTTTGTTCTGCCACTGTCACCACCATCCATCTCCAAAACTTTTTCATCTCCCCAAACTGAAACTCCATACTCATTAAACAGTAACTTTCTATTTATCCCCTCTCCCTAGCCCCTGGCAACGATCATTCTACTTTCTGAATCTATGATTTTCAGTATTCTAATTACCTCATATAAGGGGAATCATATAGTATTTGTCCTTTTGTGACTGGCGTATTTCACTTAGCATAATATCTTCAAGTTTTGTCCATGTTATAGCATATGTTAGAATTTCCTTCTTTTTTAAGGCTGAATAATATTCCTATATGTATATACCACATTTTTTTATCCATTCATCCATCAATGGACACTTGGGTAGCTTCCACCTTTTGACTACAGTCATGAGTAGCTTAACGATGGGAATACGTTCTAAGAAATGCATTGTTAGACAATTTCGTCATTGTGCGAACATCATAGAGTGTACTTACACAAACCTAGATGGTATAGCCTACTACACACCAATGCAATATGGTACTAATCTGATGGGACCACTGTCATATATGTGGTCTGTTGTTGACTGAAATGTCATTAGGCAGCATGACTGTATTGTGAATAATGCTGCTGGAAACATGAGTGCGCAAATATACGTTCAAGTCTCTGCTATCAGTTCTTTTGGATATATACCTAGAAGTGGAATTGCTGGATCATATGGTAATTCTGTTTAATTTTTTGAGGAATAACCTTGTAGCTTTTTAAAATGTCAGGGAAATAGAGGAAGAGCAGTAGGTAGAGGGAACGTGAATGGTAGTATCTATTGCCATTGTAGTCAAGTTTGAAGTTCTAAAATCTAAATTTCAGTCCTACCTTAGCCACCTATGAAATATATGACCTTGGGTAAGTGACTTACCCTGTTTAAACTGCTTTTTATTCATCTGTAAATAATAACGCTTTACTAGATTTTTCTAAGGATTAAATGAGGTTACATATGTGATATTATTTTGTAATTTATAAAATGCTATGTAAACATTTACTAGATTAACTGGACCAGCTGCCAGAAAAACTAAGTCTTTGTGCTATCTTTGATTATTAACCGCTATTACGGAGCTATTTAAAAATCCCAGCAAAGTTATTCTCTTAGCATCTGCGCTGGTGTAGAGCTAACATTTTCATTCGCCACCCTAGACCAGATTAGCTCCAGATAAGGAGCCACCCCAGGAAGTTCATTGTAATCCTGGGCAAATGCTATGGGGCTCACTGCCAGGGTCTACCTTATAGCTTCAGGTTCATTTGGGGGTTAATGTTGTATATGTGAGTACAAACTAGACCCTCTGATCCCACCACTTCCCTGGTCTTACAACGTATGGTCCCTAGCTTGTGGACAGCTCCAGAATAACTTCAACCTGCTATGAGTATCTGAAGCTAGAATCTGCCAAGAAGTTCTCCCTTCCAGTTCAGGTGTCACTTCCCTAAAAGGAAAGGGTCCATATCACTATCACTATGGATCAGAGTACAAAATTAAATATCTCTCTGTACTTAGTTCTAGGTTCTAGGATCGGGAAACCAGAGGTGCTAGGTGGCTAAGAAGGACAAAGCCAAAACAAAAAACAAACAAAAAGACTCACCCATCCAGCTATGGAAACAATGGAATTTTCTAAATTATACAAACATCTCATGTAAATTAAGTCCTGTATTACTTATACTCTTTGGAGAGAAGCTTGATATTTTTTTTCCTCCTCCTCTTCTTCCTCTCCATCTCCTATTTATTCTTTTACTTCTTTAAAATAATAATAAAGACTGATTCTGACTAGAGGATTTAAGGAATTAGTCATGATTCTTGAAACTTTTATTCTTGTTGGCACTAGTTCAAATTCCTGAGCTCTAGCCAAAAATGATTGTCATCCAGAGTGGTTTCAGTAGTCACTTTACCTGATAGGTTACTGGCCGTCTTCTTATAGTCACTAATTTTTTAGGTTAATAAAGCCAAAATCAAAGGCTAAACTTCAAATAGAATGATAAGGAAGCTCCTTCCTTTTCTCTGCTTTTCTCTTAAGGAAAACAAAAACAACTTTCTTATTATAAAAATGACGTGATCGGGTCTGGCCCAGTGGCATAGTGCTTAAGTTCGGCCGCTCCACTTTTGTAGCCTGGGGTTCGCGGATTCCGATCCCGGGCACAGACCTACACACTACTCATCAAGCCATGCTTTAGTGGTGTCCCATATACAAAGTAGAGGAAGATTGGCATGGATATTAGCTCAGAGACCATCTTCCTCAAGCAAAAAGAGGAAGACTCGCAACAGATGTTAGCTCAGGGCCAGTCTTCCTCACCAAAAAAAAACCCAAAAAAACAAAAAAAGACATGATCATTGTAGAAAACTTGGAAATTTTCAGAAAAGTATAGCATATAGTATATATGAAAAATCATGCATACTTCTAACATAATGAAATAACAAATGTTTTATATTTTCATGTGTGCCCTTCTCGTCTTTTTCTATTGATTTATACACATATATCCTAACATAGTCAAGATTATATACTACATGTGCAGTTCTGCATGTTTTTTAAATATATGTCATAAGAATATTCCTGTATCAATGAATATGCTTCATAAATATTACTTTAGCCTACATAATATTTTATCATAAGGGTAGATCGTTGTCTATAAATTTCTATATTATTGATCTTTTGATTTCTTTCCGTTTCTCACTAATGTAAGCAACTCTGAAATAAACATATGCATAAAGATTTATCCATTTTCTTAGGGTAGCTTTTTAGAAGTGAAATTACTGAATCAATGAATATGAAAATGTTTAAGAATTATCTTTTTAAAGAAAATCAGCTTTGAATTGTTAAAGGGATAATGATATATCAACTTTAACACATCTTTGATGACTATGTAGCTACTCATATTTAGATAATCTCTGCAAGTATTACTATTAATTGACTGAATCTAATCTTTCATTTCAGACACTAGATGCATCTCTTCCTCTGTCTCCTATTCCTTGGGATAGAAATCAGGAGATCAGACTGAACCCATATACAAACCTTGTCAGATGAGCACACATGCCCATCTTGTTTATACTGCCTATTTAACCATTGCTCTCATTCTTTCTTTTCTCTTCTTTCAGATGGAATGGGGCGAGTCCTTGCTCAAGATGTATACGCAAAAGACAACCTACCCCCATTCCCGGCGTCAGTGAAAGATGGCTATGCTGTCCGAGGTAAATATTTTGGTTTTCTTGTGTATCATCATACTTGCAATGTATTTTTTTTTCCTCAGATTTTTGGCTCAGCCCAGGCACCCAAGACCTGTTACGTCTGTTACCCCCTTGGTTGTCAAAATAATTTCATTTACGGATAATAATGTTAATCTACACCTATGTGTTTTCTGGCATAACCTTGATTAAAACTTTTCAGCGAAAGTACTACAGTTACTTGAAAATTCTTGCTTACAACAAATATGTAAAGATTGATAAAAACACTATATTATAATTTATTCTTTTGGCCTCTACACATCCCGGATAGCAGACAGTCTTGGTCTGGAAGTTTTTCGTATGTTTTCTAGTTGAAAACATCTATATGGTCAAAGAAAGCAGAGTAGATTCCCAATACAAGGATAAAGTGGAACAGTCTTTTCTCCTGCTTTAAACTCAAACATCAATAAGGGCTTCATAAAAAACAAGCATGAGGGAAACCTTTAATTCCCTGGAAGATGCCATATTTCAAAGCTCTGAAGCCCCGGATGGTACCAGCAGCTCACACCTTCAGAGTTGCCTGTGATTGCATAAAGCTTAAAAGCAAATACTAAATAGTATTTGCCTGCCTAAAGTCCAATCTAAGAACCGAAAATGAAAATACAACTGAATTGCTTAGAACTATTATTGATTAATTAACTCAAGGCTAATATCATTGAAGAAATGTCTAAAAACATTTCCCAGTTTATCAGAGCAGTTAAGAAGGCCAATTCCTTTTTAATGGTCATTTATGGAGTCTTTTACTTGGTTTTTTGTTGTTGTTGTTGTTTTTACTCTATCTAGCTGTTAAAATAATTTCCTCGTGGGGCCGGCCCGGTGGCACAAGGGGTAAAGTGCGCTCGCTCCGCTTCGGCAGGCTGGGGTTCGCAGGTTCGGATCCCGGGCACTCACTGATGCACCGCTTGTCAAGCCATGCTGTGGTGGCGTCCCATATAAAGCAGAGGAAGGTGGGCACAGATGTTAGCCCAGGGCCAGTCTTCTTCAGCAAAAAGAGAAGGATTGGCAACAGATGTTAGCTCAGGGCTGATCTTCCTCTCACACACACACAAAAAATAATAATTTCCTCTTTTTTGTAATTAAATACCTTCGTTAATCTCCCCCATGTTCCATCACCATCTCTTAGCAGTATCTTTTTATGTAGGAGGCAGTATAACAAATGGTTCGTGTCATGGGCTTTGAGCATAGGAAGAGTGATCTGGGTTCTGGTACCAGTTCCATCTATGTAACTTCAACTTTAAAATCACTTAAACTTTTTGGGACTCAGTTTTCTCGTCTGTAAAATGGCGATAATTATAACAATACTTACCCCAATAGGTTGTTGTGAAGATTAAGTGAAAACATAGAAAGCCTTAGAAAAGTACCTGACACTGAAAAAAGTACTCAATAATTGTTTTTTTAAATGTTTAATAATAGTAACTATTATTATCACTATTATTATTATAAACACATTTACTTAGACTATCTCTGAAAAAAGGATAACATTTATCTAAATTGTTCTCATATTCTATGAAACAAAATGGTAGGGAGATTAATTCTTACTAGTGTATTCTTTCTCAAGAACACTATCTTGGATTCACCTTGTTCAGCTTGATCTCACTAAATTAGAGCATTTCTGAAAACATAAATAACAAATCTCCAGTGGCTCATATGTTTTTTTCTTCCAAATTTACTCCTTTTACTGTGTTTGTTATAATGAATATTGTCCAGAAAGAAAATTATTTTAGGCTTCTAATAGCCTCATTGACTTTTCTTGTTTCTTATTCCCTAAAATGTAAATTCTGTTTTGAACTTATAATTAGTAACCATATAGGATTACTATAAAGTGACAAAGAATTCTTACCTCCAGAGTAGAACAAACAACTACAGCAGATGAAATACCAAAAGGACAAGGAAGTCTATTTTTTAACTGTGTGTGTGAGGAAGATCAGCCCTGAGCTAACATCCATGCCAATCGTCCTCTTTTTTTTCTGAAGAAGACTGGCCCTGGGCTAACATCTGTGCCCGTCTTCCTCCACTTTATATGGGACGCCACCACAGCATGGCCTGACAAGCGGTGCATCGGTGCGTGCCCGGGCTTCCGAACCCCGGGCCGCCAGCAGCGGAGCGTGTGCACTTAACCGCTATGCCATGGGGCCAGCCCCAAGAAAGTCTATTTTTTATATCGTTGATAATATGAAGTAGGAGAAAGTGAGAAAATAAATTATTTGAGGCAGAATTATTCTTAAACAGAGTGTTTTTCTGTGATTTTTGCATGAGGTAACAGCAGCTCAGTAAAAAGAAACTTGCTCTTAGCTTTTCTAGTTGCCAAAAAGAGCAGTTGGCCCACATGAGCCATAAAAGAGCCTTTCTGCTACTGTAGAATCTATCAAAGAGATTTTTATGTAAAAGTATCATTCAGTATCTTATTTATTCTTTTGTTTTGGATTGGTGGTTTTTAGTTATTTCACACACACACGAAACATCTAAAATGACATCTCACAGTATAGAAGGTTCAACAAATAATCTACCATCCAGCTGATTCACACTCCTTCTTTCCTGTGAAGTGTGGCTAGTTCTCTAAGATATGGAACGTTTAACAGAGACATAACACATAACAGATAACCATTACAGATATGGTTAAATCTCAGAGTGGGAATGGTTGGTGTGTCTTTGTATATATAATTAACATCATAATTAAGGCAGCAAAAGTCATCAGTGAACGAAAAGGCATAGTCTTAGTCTTTTCTATGTTATAATACCACCCCCGGGCTGTGTTTTGGTAAAGAATATCCTTGAGAGAATATACTCTACTTCGTGTACCTTCTCTTCACCCCCATCTTCCTTTACTCCCATTCCTTTCTCCCAGCTTCCTTCTTCCCCCGCCCCCCCGCCCCCCGTTTTTTTCCTTATCCTCTGCCTTTGCCTTAGGCCTTCTGGTAATAACCAGTGGCACCTGTGAGCATTGCTAACTCTCTAGGTGTAAAGAGGTTGCTAACTTGCTCTGGATCACTAAGCATTAGCCAGTATCCTTCAGAAACATGTAGGATAAAACTCCAAACCAGTTGGAGGATCACTCGCTTTAAGGTATGTGGGTTGAAAAATCAAGACAGTAAAACATGATTAAGGAAATAAGAAATAGGAACAGCTTAAAAAAAAAAAGCAAGAAACAATAGAGTGTAAGGAAGGCAGGAATCAAGTGATGATGATATAAATAATAGCAAGACCTGTAATCTAAGAAACCTAAAACTGCATTCAGGAGGAAGTGTATTTGAAAGATAAAAGCAGAGAAAAGAAAATGAAAGTAGCATATTGCCAATTAGAATCAATACAATGTTTTTATTCTTTATATTTTTGAAGTTATTTTTCCCTTCACACTGATTAAGCTAACCATCTTGATGCATTTACACCCTCCTGTAGAGATGTGGGTGCCCATTGTCTCACAATTTTTTCTTAGATGCAAAGGCAAAAATATCTCAGAATTTCAAGTCCAGCTTTCTTGAAAATGTTCAATTTGAAAGGCTTATCCCTTCAGAACTTGTTTTCGGATCATTTAGAAAAGGGAAAATTATGAACAAGACTGTAATTATTTTGAGAACCATGTGTAACAAACAATTCTGGAAAGATATACTAAGAGAAATCCTTGCCATTTGTGTAAAGGAAGTTTTAAAGTTTTTTATTTTTTACATTCTGATTGAAATACATGGTTATGGAAAATACAGAAAATCAAAAAGAACATTTTCAAATTACCCATTATATGGGACCACCCGGTGGCACAAGTGGTAAAGTGTGCACGCTCTGCTTCAGCAGCCTGGGCTTCACAGGTTCGGATCCCGGGTGCTCACCGACACACTGCTTGTCAAGCCATGCTATGGCAGCGTCCCATATAAAGTAGAGGAAGATGGGCATGGATGTTAGCCCAGGGCCAGTCTTCCTCAGCAACAAAAAAAAAAAAAAAAGAGGAGGATTGGCAGACGTTAGCTCAGGTCTGATCTTCCTCACACACAAAAAATAAATAAATAAATAAAATTACCCATTATCTCACTGCCTAGCCACTATTAACTTTTTGTTATACTTCCTTCCAGTGGGTTAAAGTGTATACTAAAATTCAGTATAACCTTTTGATTTAGAGCTAGTTCTTATTCTTTCATGAAAGTCATGTTCTAGGGTTTCTAGTTGTGTCCATTTAAATCCTCTTTGGCCATAGCTGGTTCTCCAACTCGTTTGACAGCCTATTGCCTTCCACTGTAGGACACTTTGGATGAAGAAGATGGCTTGATGATGTGCTCACATTAGTCATGGGAGCAGGCAGATAATTGGAATAATTAATTTTAGTTAATTCTCAACTCACCTGATTTAATCCCTCAGTATAATAACAGCAAGTATTACTCCCATTGTACTAGTCCTGTCACCTTTGCTTACCCCCACCCCAGCTGTTCCTATAATCTTAGTGTTAGTATACACATAAATGTTATTACTCTGTTGCTTATCATCCTGTCTTAGTTTGGTTCCATAATCAGAGTAAACAAATTCTTTTTTCTTCCTTTTTTTTTAATTGAGGTAACATTGTTTTATAATATTATATAAATCTCAGGTGTACACCATTATATTTCAATTTCTGTGTAGACTACATCATGTTCAACACCCAAAGACTAATTACTGTCCGTTGCCATACACATGTGCCTTTTTACCCCTTTCGCCCCCTTTCCTTCTCCTTCCCCTCTGGTAACCACCAATCTAATCTCTATATCTACATTTTTGGTTATTGTTGTTGTTGTTGTTTTTATCTTCCACTTATGAGTGAAATCATACAGTATGTCTGACTTATTTCGCTTAGCGTAATACCCTCAAGGTCCATCCATGTTGTCACAAATGGCAAGATTTCATCTTTTTTTGTGGCTTAGTTCCGTTGTGTAGATATACCACATCTTCTTTATCCATTCATCCATTGATGGGCACTTAGATTGTTTCCAAGTCTTGGCTGTTGTGAATAATGCTGCAGTGACCATAGGGGTGCAAATATCTTTTCACATGCATGTTTTTGTGTTCTTTGAATAAATACCCAGAAGTGGAATAGGTGGGTCATATGGTAGTTCTATTCTTAATTTTTTGAGGAATCTCCATACTGTTTTCCATAGTGACTGCACCAGTTTACCTTCCTACTGGCAGTGTATGAGTTCCCTTCGCTCCACATCCTCTCCAACACTTGTTATTTCTTGTCTTTTTAATAATAGCCATTCTGACAGGCGGGAGGTCATATCTCATTATAGTTTTGTTTTTGTTTTTGTTTTTCTGAGGAAGATTAGCCCTGAGCTAACATCTGTTGCCAATCTTCCTCGTTTTTTTTTTCCTTGAGGAAGGTTAGCCCTGAGGTAACATCTGTGCCAATCTTCCTCTACTTTATGTGTGGGTCACTGCCACAGCATGGCTGACGAGTGGTGTAGGTCCATGCCCGGGATCCGAACATGCTAACCCAGGCCACCAACACAGAACATGCCAAACTTAACCACTATGCCATAGGGCTGGCCCCCTGGTTATAGTTTTGATTTGCATTTCCCTAATAATTAGTGATGTTGAACATGTTTTCATCAGCCTGTTGGCCATCTATAGATCTTCTTTGGAAAAATGTCTGTTCAGATCCTTTGCCCATTTTTTTAATTGGGTTGTTTGGTCTTTTGTTGTTGAGTTGTCAGAGTAAACAAATTCTTAATCCCTCTGCCTTATTTCTTTATCAAAGATATTTCCTAGGACCTCTAAAAGTTATGCTATCTCTATGGCCTCAGTATATTCAGCCCTAACATGGAAATGATGAGACTCTTTATCACTGAAAATAAATGAATAGCTATAAAGTATTTCAAGAGGCTTACAGAGAGTTCACATATGGCTGGGAAATGAAAATAAGGGATAATTCTGTGGCAAATGGCTTGGGGAAGATCATTTTCTATACGTTGCCCCAATAAATAGTTATCTAATGGTATCAATTTTATATCAAATGATATAATCAGAAATCTTCAAATAAACGGGTGAACAAGACTAAAACTGTTTTCTGGACATTAAAAAAAGAGAGTGGAGGCACCAGCCCGGTGACGTAGCTGTTAAGTTTGCGCATTCCACTTTGGTGGCCCAGGGTTCGCTGGTTTGGATCCTAGGCGCAGACCTACTAACCACTCGTCAAGCCATGCTGAGGCGGCGTCCCACATAGAAGAGCTACAACTCTACAACTATGATACTCAACTATGTACTAGGGCTTTGGGGAGAAAAGAAAAAGAAAAAGAGGAGGATTGGCAACAGATATTAGTGCACAGCTAATCTTCCTTAAAAAAATAAAAAAGAGAGTGGAAATGGGAGCAGCTTCAGGGTCTAGCATTAAGCATAATAAATTACTTATATAATGCATTTGCTGTTAGGATTTGGTTTATATTGCTTTTATCACTTCCTTCAAATTAAATTCTGCAGTTACAAAACAGAAAACTTATTAACAGAAATATCAGAATTAGGAGGGGAAAAAATTCTAAGCCCTTACAGAAATCCTTGGAATCTATCCATCTTCTCTTAACAGCATACTGTGGCTTGCTTAGTTTCTTTCTTTCCAAGCTTCGGTTCATATACCACCATACCTCTACTTCCACCACCTCCCATCCAAGCTTATAGAATTCATCTTGAAAAGAGCAACTTTTCTTGTACCTGTCTCTTTATAAAACCGTATACCTTTCCTTTAAGAGTGGTTTTCTTAATTTGTATTTATATATTCATTATTGTGATTATTTGATTAATATCATTCTCCCCCACTACATCGGTTGCTTTAAGAGTTTTATTTTAACCACACCCATAGGAAGACACACATCAAATGCATTATACATCACAAGTCAATGAAATATACAAACATATATAGCATATACAATACATGTAAATATACATATACACACATCTGTAAACAAAAATGTTTCATGAAACAATATTCATCCTCACCATGCATGATGAAATATACTTTCTATTCTTTTTCAATCAAAAAATTATTTACAGGATGATTTTACAGCCCACCTCCATTTGTGATCCAGAGTTTGAAAAACATTGCCACAGACTGGCACTGCATTAGAATAGAAACAGTGTCTGGTTTTACTCTTTGCTCTGTCCCATCACCTAATATGACACTTGAGGCATAGAAGACACTCAGTAGAAATTTAGTGAATGAATGAAAGAAGTCAAAAGTTTTAAAAGATATTATTTTTTAAAGTATTATTATCCCTATTTTTATCAACAAGAAAACTGAAGGTTAGAGAAAGGTTTAGTAATTTGTGGAAAGTCTTGAGACTAATAATAGGCAGAGCCAGGATTCAGATTCAGCTTTGTTTTACTCTAAAACCATGTTAATTTCCCTTTGTGCAAGAAGCAAAAAGAGAAAATGTCTAGGTTGCTTATAGGAGGTGGCAAGCTGGTAATATCTCTAGTAGAGAAATAACTAAAAATAAGTTTATTCACATTTGAAATGCAGTTAGTGAAGAATTCTGAAAGAAAATTGCCTTTTAATTTTCTACAGTAAGAAAATCGTGATTTGCTTTAAACACAAAAATAAAGTGAGAGGATAGATGAAACAAGATTGGTAAAATGTTGATAATTGTTGAAGCAGTGACTTGTATGTCTGTTTTAAATTGTTCATTTAAAAAAATTAAATAAAAAAGAACCCATAAAAGCAGCATAATAAGAATAGCATTACAGGAAAACTATTCTTGTTTTTACACTGAAAATAGAACAGGATTCCAAAAAACACAAGCCAAGAGTTTATTGACTAAGATAATGTCTGTAAAGAACAAGATACAACATCTAGTTCGTAGAAGAGACCCAATGTTAATTTTTTGTCCCTATCCACATCAGGTTAACCAAAGTCATCTGTGCAAAAAAAAAAAGGTGACTTATTATAAACAGTATTGTATATAAACCTTTAGAAAAAGTACCACTTTGTAATCACATAAAGAAACAATGAATTTTATATGTCCTTTTTAAAAGAGGGAAAATACTGTGTAATATTTATCATTATGATTGCAAATATACTTAAAATACTCATATAGAAAGTGTTATCTTTTCTGTGTATGTGCCTCAAACCCTTGCTGTATGCAGATGACACGGAAGTAATGGTCATGATCATAAAATTCATTAGATAGGCATTGCCTTTCCAGTAGTATTGGTCTGAAATCCACATCATATGTGAATAAAACCTTTTTGAATACATTTATCTCCAGGAATATTTTTTCACCCGGCCATTGCTGTACTGTGTGTAGAAAAAAAATTGGATAAGAAATTTTTTCCATCTCAATTCTGACAGTGTTTCTTTCAATTTAAAAAGAAATAGCCAATGGAAAATGTGATGCAGCACTGCCTATGTATTCTAATTCATAAACAGCATTTTGACCCATTATAAAAAATATATATATACTGTACTGGGAATTAAGGGACTGGATTTTAGTCCTAGCTCTACCACTAACCAGAACTTATTCAAGGTACTTAACCTTTTCTACCTGAGTTCCTTCCTTCTGTAACTCATTTCCTTCAAATGTCAAATGAAGAAAAGAATATATGTTCTTCCTATTTCACTATTTTGAAGATCATACTAGAGATAAATAAGAAAATAGTATGAAATAATTAAAAATTTATAAAAATATGGATATATATATATCTCTCCATCGGTATGCACACACATATCACACACACGTACCCATGGATAAGGTGGTATTTATTTAGTAGGATAGGTTAAAAGAACTTCCTGTTTAAAAAGTACAAGTGTGGAAATTATGGAGCAACGGGAAGACTATCTCCAGTGACACCAAGAAAGAGCACAGTTAGAGCCACTTTTGTTGGTACTTGTGAGTTGTGGACACCAAAGATCAAACCAGTAGTATCAAAGCCATTGTCTAGTCTAGGAGATCAGAAAAGTATTGCACTTTTCCTGAAGCCTTATCTGATCATTTACGTCACATGTTAGAATTCCAATTCTAGGTTCTTAGTCCTTGCTATAGATTCATTCTGATGTTTGTTCTTGGTGCTGTTCGTCTCACAGCTGCTGATGGCCCAGGAGATCGTTTCATCATTGGGGAATCCCAAGCTGGTGAACAGGTGAGATTTATAGGCCTGAAAGGCCCTAAAGATTTCAGTTTCCTGGACTTTCAGGATCTAATTCTAAACTGCTACCATCATTGTAATGGAAATCTTAGAGAGGGGTTATGTTATCAAAGAGATGAAAAGAACCCATGAGAAAGAACCAAAAGAATTATTTCTTAACTGAAAGAATCTGTGTCTATTAATATATGGCGTGGTGTTGTTGGTATGTCTCACAGACATGCCCCACAAGCATTTTCTAGCCTTGTGATTGGATAATTCTTTCTTCCTGTATAAACATTAATGTTCTGAATAGAACTTCAATTTCTAAGTGGTCTTCTCAGACTTTTTCCCAACTTGTGTTAAAAATGGAAATTTAGAAAAAGCAGATTATTTAACCTCTCTAGCTAATCATTTAGATTAATTTTTCTCATTAGGGAGCTAGCCAGGGAACAGGTATACATATATTTCTTTTAAGAAATTAAGCACTAATGGGCCATTAATGGAAGTATAATAGAAGTCCTCTTAATTTAACGCCTTTGAGACCCAGTAATTGGCCATTTAATTGGAAATAAGTTAAAAGTGGGAAATTATTTTATATTTTTGAAATAAGGATAAATTTAACTTAAGTAAATGAACATTTATTTGTTAATAATTTGATGGAGAGCCAAGGCTTTTCTTATAATAAGTATCTACTATTTGAATTTCTGTCTGGTCTTTCTTACATAAATCACATCCAAAAGGCATTATACGGGATTTCTAGTTTTGGTTTCTTTAAACTGGAGAAAAATTTAAGGACATTTGCAAGGTATCTAAGTATAGAATCCTTCTAAATTTTTATTATATTTTTATAATTTTTTACAGTTGCTTCACCCACACCTAGTTTGACAGCAGTTCTTTTTAGCAGCATTTTTAATTGAGTTTTTCCAAAGGTTTAACTTAATTATTATAGGAAAAAAAATAACTCTTCACACTCATATATCATTGGTTTATGTAATATTTATTTAACTTGCATAATTCAGTAGTGACTACTGCCACAAACTGGTACAAACAGTTTGGGAACAAATTCAATTGAATCTTAGAGCGGTAGTTTACAGGTATATAGGAGAAGAGTATAACACCTTAAAACTTAATTTATGCTGTGGTCATCATTATGTTTAAGAGGAAATAGCATATGTTAATCCAGTGAGTTGTGAAGGTTAATTAAAAGAGCTCCTACCTTATTGAATAGAACCAGAGGAAGACCAAGGCATTTTTCTCCTCTTGTACCACCAAGCACTCATAAGCATTATATGAAAATAAAGGAGGAAAAATATATATATATAGCAGTTTGGACAAAAGCTATGTCCCATGCCTTTTCTTCCTTGGTTTAGCAGGTACTCCCTTATATCCTAAAACTAGAGAGGGGTTGAGGAAGTATATAGGAGAAGGATGGTGCCTATGGTGGTGACCCTAGCTCCCTCATCTCTACATCCAAGCATTGAGGAGAACTGTGTACAGATCTGTGAAGCTAATGCTGGCACTATAGTGATTAGATCCTTGTTCATAGTGTACCCAGGCTGGTTTTAGTCCCCGTGACTTTTTTCCTGACAAAAAGAACAGCTAGGCCTGGGTCCCTTTTGTATAAATGACTTGCATTGTCACCTTAGTTTATTTGACTTCTTGGTATATATTTCCATCAGCAATGGGCATCTAAAGCATCCGTTTTTATAGCAAAGCCACAAAATATCAATTATTCAAGGAATACTTCTCTGATCTTCAAATGAGTCTATCCAACATTTATCAAACATACTTGCTGCCTGTGTGTACCAGGCACTGTGCGAGGTTCTAGGCGTATAAAGTAGATTAAGACATGATTACTACTCTTAAGGAGTTTATATCTAGTGGAAGAGACAGAGTATAAACAACTAAGTATAGCACTATATTTTAGTTTTTAACTAGTGCTGTCAGTCATGAGCCATGGAGCACAATAGAGAGGTTGAGCATGTCATCCTAGAGGGATTGGAGAGAAGACATTGGAGCTGGGCCTAAAAGCAGAAATGAGAAAAGGACATTCCAGGCAGAGGGAACAGTATAAGTCAAGACCCAAAGATGTTTAAAAAATTGCGTGGAGGGCCGGCCCTGTGGCTTGGTGGTTAAGTGCGCGCGCTGCGATGCTGGAGGCCTGGGTTCTGATCCCGGGCGTGCATCGAGGCACCACTTCTCCGTCCATCCTGAGGCCGAGTCCCACATACAGCAACTAGAAGGATGTGCAGCTATGACATACAACTATCTACTGGGGCTTTGGGGGGAAAAAAATAAAATAAATAAAATCTTTAAAAAAAAAAAAATTGCGTGGAATGCTTAGGGAACTGCAAATAGTTTGTTGTAGTCATAGCCTAGTATACATAGGAATAGGTAGCAGATTGTTAAGGACCTGTGGACTTAAACTTTATTTACTATAAGACCTCCAACTATACTAGAGAACTAGGAGCACAAGAAAAGTTGTAAAACTTAAAAGTTGGCAACTTCTTGTAAGTTCTTATAAAAGGTTGATGGGAAAAAAGATCAAACTATACAAGAAAATGGAGTTTTTCTTCAAATTACCTGTGATGTCCTTTATCTATAACTGATGTATCATACAGACTTTTTATAGCCATCTTGCAAGAGCCAAATTGCTCACTTATTGAAAGTACATACACTTGAGCATTGGGGTGCAATTGCATACACTGAGACAGTGGTTTACTAAATGATTTCTTGGTATACCAAAATATTTGACTTTAAATCACTTATAGTTTGGTCCTATTGATTAGCCCTGAACACTTTCAAAGAAAATATTATGTAATTATAAAGTGCTATCATTGGACAAAGCTCAAAACATCCAACTCAATACCTCCATTAGGGAAAAATCAAAATTTTAACTGTTTTTACTTTATATAAAGCACATAAGGTATATCAATAAAAATAAAAAAGAATTAGTTACTAGTCTTAACAATCTAAATGAGGTACTTCAGGGCCGACCCAGTGGCGCATCAGTTAAGTGCGCACACTCTACTTCAGCGGCCCGGGGTTCACAGGCCCGGATCCCAGGCATGCACTGACGCACCGCTTGTCAGGCCATGCTGTGGCGGCGTCCCATATAAAAAGTGGAGGAAGATGGACACAAATGTTAGCCCAGGGCCAATCTTCTCAGCAAAAAAGAGGAGGATTGGCATTGGATGTTAGCTCAGGGCTGATCTTCCTCACAAAAAATGAATAAATAAATAAAGGAGGTACTTCACGTATTGCTAGACTTTTCCAGTTGATTCAATTCAATTGTAGTTTATATGTCTACTCTAATGTCTTTATATATCCAATAATATCTTTTACGTTAGATTTAATGTAAGTGAGCTGGTAGGAATCCTTCACCTACCGCTTAGAATTACTGGTCTTGGAAAGGAGCCAAATTTTTTATTTAATAACCACACAAAAACACTTCTTCAGAGTTGATTTAAGCCAAGAAGTGGAGAAAATTACAGGTACAACTACAGTAAAACTTAAAGTAAGTTTACAGAATATGGTACATTGAACCCAACTAAATTGAGGCAGGGCTCCAGGCTAACACATTTCAGCTTAAGAAGCTACTGCCCTGAAACTTACTTTAGGATTTACTTGTTGCCTTAGCCAAAAAGGCACTTTCAGCAAAAGAAAGACCTCTTTAGGCCTATATTAATATCTTTGTTCCACAGGCTCAGAAGATAGTTTTGGCATTAGCACCTCTACTAAACAACACGTATATCAACTCAAAACTTTAATATTTTTCATCAAAAGTCACTGCACTGCAAAATGGTCATATATAGTGGATTAAGAGATGTCTCAAACAAGTAGTAGTGTCTGGGGTTGAAAATTAAAAAAAAAATTTAATGTATTAGGCCCTACACTTTTCATTTTAAATCCTATGCATTATCTTGGTAGAAAATTACATTAAAATGTAACAATTCTGAATAAGCCTGGAATGTCTTTTATTCAAATAACAGAATAAGGGGATATAAGGTACATAGTCCAGTGCCAGATCTGATCCCAAGAATCTCTTTACCCAATGACTGCGGTAGAAAAGCAGGGAGAACGCTGGAGTTGTAAGCCAAGAAGGATTGCATACTTCATGTAGTTGTTGGGATAATGAGATCATGCATGTTCATTCATTCATTCTGGAGATATTTATTGACTACCAACTTTGTACCAGATACTTTCTAGGCATTGGGATGATAGAGCAATAAATATGTCTGGAAAAGGGGTGATTAAAGAAGATTAATGCAGGAACTATATCCAAGATATAGACAGGGTTAAAGCAAACTAACAAAGGAATGTGAAGCACCCAGGTGCTAGCAACAGTGACATTCCATTACCACCTCTAGGTCTGAAGGGTCAAAGGCAGAGTGGTACCTGGACCTGGGGAGATTCATAGCTATGGGAGAGAGCCACCTAACAGGAGCTGTGGTCCTCAGTGGTAGAGATGACATAGCCATCAACAGACTGCAGCCTAGCAGGGAAAGAGCAAGGGGAATAAAAACTCTACTTCTCTCCCTGTCCTACCTTCTGATCTCTTGTTGGCCCCTCTCATTGGCCGAACCTAATTAGAAGCCAGAGTGATGAGAACCTGTTTGCAACAGTCCATAGAGGTCAGCCTTCTAACAACACAGGATAGAGAATGGTGATGTGATCTGGAGAGGCAAACAGAAAATAAAACAAATTCCTATCTTTCTAGGGCTTATATTTTAGAATATAATAATGCACTTAGCACTGGACCTAGCATCGATTGAGGGTTCAATAAATATTAGCTATTGGTGGTATTGTTTGCAGCAATAATATCATGGAAAGAAGCTTTTTAATGCTTTTCTAATAAACAAATTTCCAGTTTTACTTTGATTGTTCATCCAGCGGAGGGGTATTTTTCCTTAACCATTCCCTACAATTTTTTTTTAATGTGGTAAAAAATATATAGCATAAAATGTACGACCTTAGGGGGCTGGCCCAGTGGCACAAGCGGTTAAGTGCGCACGCTCTGCTTCGGCGGCCCGGGGTTCGCAGGTGTGGATCCCGGGCACACGCTGACGCACCGCTTGTCAAGCCACGCTGTGGCGGCGTCCCATATGAAGTGGAGGAAAATGGGCACGGATGTTAGCTCAGGGCCAGTCTTCCTCAGGAAAAAGAGGGGGATTGGCAATGGATGTTAGCTCAAGGCTGATCTTCCTCACAAAAAAAGAAAAAAAAAAAGTACCACCTTAACCATTTTTAAGTGTACAGTTCAGTAGTGTTAAGTATATTCACATTGTTGTGACCTAAGATTTTAAATACTTATGAAGCATATATCTTTGTAGAGATAGCTTTTTTTAATTGAGGAATTAATATTATCTCAGAATTTTCTTTTAGGGGAAATTTGAAGCACTCCTTTTCCCAACTCTGACCTAAATCATGGCCCATGACAAATGACTCTTCTGAGGCCAGATCAAACCTATCAGATGAATCTTTCAGAAATATACTTTTCCATATACTGGGGAAGTTCACAGGGCATGTGCTGTAGTCAGTCTCCTATACCATCCGTATGAAAGCTCACATAATGAAAATCGTGGATATAATGTTTAACCCAAATCATTACAGACACTGGAATCATTTTAAAATTATTTAATTACATTTGCTAGATTTCTATTATTAATTGAAAGGTGAACTAATATATTTTAGAAAGATTTTCAAGAGCAATAAGTAAAATGAATTTTCTGGCTTGCCTTGACTTAACCAAAAAGTTTAGTTAATAAAGTACTACATGTCTCAAATATCAGAACTTTAATGAATGACCAATGCGGTTTTTCATAATTGTCCTTCATAAAATCATATTGCATGCCATTTTTTTCTTAAAGACTCTCAAATCACTTTACATATATTAAAAAAATTCACATTATTTGAGTGAGAGATAGAAGTGGCAAATGTGGGTTGGCCCCGTGGCTTAGCGGTTAAGTGCGCGCGCTCCGCTACTGACGGCCCCAGTTCGGATCCCGGGCGCACCGACGCACCACTTCTCCGGCCATGCTGAGGCCATGTCCCACATATAGCAACTAGAAGGATGTGCAACTATGACGTACAACTATCTACAGGGGCTTTGGGGAAAAAAAGGAGGAGGATTGGCAATAGATGTTAGCTCAGAGCCGGTCTTCCTCAGCAAAAAAAAAAAGAGGAGGATTAACATGGATGTTAGCTCGGGGCTGATCTCCTCACACACACACACAAAAAAGTGGCAAATGTAGGTGGCAGTTCTTCAAAAGGAAAACAGGCACCAAGAAAGACATCTAATAGTCATTATCTTAAATTAAGTTAAAGCCTCTTTGGTGTAAGTACACCTGTTTGTGACTTTTACTACATTGGCCCAAAATTAATAAGACTGTAAGACTTTTCTTTTATGGTTTGTTTCTAAAAATGTTACATCTCCTGCAGATTTTCCTTTGCAGCAGCAAAGTAAATCAACTCTTTCTTATGTGTTTGTGTTTCTAGCCAACTCAGACAGTAATGCCGGGACAAGTCATGCGAGTTACAACAGGTGCTCCAATCCCCTGCGGTGCTGATGCAGTAGTACAAGTGGAAGATACCGAACTTATCAGGGAATCCGATGATGTACGTCATTACCAGGTCTTACCGCTTCATTCCTATGGCAGCATTATGAGTCATGCCCATTTTCTGCAATGTTTGTGAGATTAACTCAGTTTTTTTGGTTATGTTAGGATCTTACATATATGGGTCTCCAGTAAATAAAGAATTGCCTTAGGCTTGAAAATCTTTTGTTATAGGAGACATTTTTATGATCATTACTGTGATTAAAGCAGAATTGGAAGCACATTTGATCCAAGAAATTTCACATGCAAACGAGGAAAGAAATTACCTCAAGGTAGAAGAACAGAGATATTAACTATTGACATACCTTCTGGCTGAGAAATTTGTTCATTAGGACAAGCTTCTGATAAAATGTGAAGGATAATTTAATAGAGAAGAATTTAACAAAGAACATTTGGGAAAGTTCTTGAATATTACACTAAGCCACTAAACCAGCTCTGGTTTTCTATAATTCAGGAATATCTGTGCCACCAAATGACAGCCTTGAAATATTAAATTGATGTCAGTTCCCCCTGTATTGCCTAAAATAAAGAACCTGAGATCTTTTTTTGGTCAAACGAGGCTTTCATCTCATTGAAACTAGTAACAATTATTGAAACCAGAGGATCAGCCACTAATAAAAGAATAGTTTCAACGAAGGTTTCAATGACTGGCTATCTTACTTGTTTTGTGAAGAAGTTTAAGATAGCTTATATTTTAAAATCTGAAGTTAAAAACAAGAATATATTCTCCTGGACTGGGTTTATAGTAAAATTCGATCATGTTGAGAGACAGCCACTTTGCTTGATCTGGGGATTTTCTTTTTAATCACCTTCCCACATGTTAGACTTATAAAATTCAACTGTTGGCCTACAGATCACATTGCCTGCTGTTAAAACTGTCCAGCAGATTTATTGGCATCAGGGAAGCCAGTAGAGCATTGAAATGCAGAGCATATGCATCTACAGACTCTGCCAGATGACAAGACACAGTTCCAGTGTCACAATATTATTCATAGCCCATAGATGCAAAATTGATGATCACCATTAATTTACAGAAATCTACTACCAGGCAAACTATAAGTGCTTCACTGAAATTTCTGCAGGTATCTGGGACCTTTGGCCTAGTATTATACCTGTGATTCATGGGAACAGAAGAGATGGGTGATCTCCATGCACATTCACTGTATCTATTAGGATAGTCATCTATATATATATTTTCTGTTTTTCCTTGAGAATACTACTTACAAAGTAAAATTCAATATTTGAATTGGTACATTTTTAAAAAACATGAAAATATTTTATTTATTTATTTATTCCTTGGCATCAAACCTAGTTTTTCAGGAACGTGTTGTAAAAATTCATTGTACTCAAAGGGTTTAGCAGATAGTTTTATGTTTCTCTACATTTGTATATATTCTGGGCCCATCTGATGATAAAAACACCTGAGTAGCTAAATTCTGTTGATCAGAAATTCTATTAAATTGTTCTGTTTGAAATTACATGACTTGTTCTTATTACAGGGCACTGAAGAACTTGAAGTACGAATTCTGGTGCAAGCTCGGCCTGGCCAAGATATCAGGTAAGTTCATAACATATAGAACGTATAGGCAACTTTTGCTTCTCCATGATCATGAACTCAGGAGAGCATGGCTATTATAAATCACAGCTCAGTCAATTAGCCATTAGCTTTCAGAGCTTTTAACAAGTAGCAAAATGAATTTTTCTGAATTCTACATCCCACGTCTGCCCTGACTACTTTTTCACGCAAATGGTAAAGGCAAATGAAATAGTCAAAAGCAACGTGAGAAGGAGGGAAAGTCATGAGCCTACATAATCCACAATTAATTCTACTCCTAGATAATCCAGAATTGGGTATTAACACAGATAATCCCAAAATTGGATATTTACACAATTAGCTGATAGCCCCTCCTCTACTGACTACCAATAATAATGGAATAATCTGCTACTCTTTATATACAAAGATGAGACTACTGTCCTACCATAAGTAGTACATATATTTTAAATGATTTTTCTTACAATGGACTATGTTTTCTCTGATTCCATTAATACTAATTTGTTCAACATTTCCTTGTAATAAAGCTACACTCCCATCCCTATGATAGCAGGCCAAGGTGCATGGGGCTGTGTGGCCCTAGAACTGGACCAACTAAGTGGTCAAAATGGAAATTATCTCCATGACTGTAACCTCATTAGCATTATTCTCCTCACGACAAAGCTAACAAGCTAGGGACCTTTTATCATTAATGCCACTGGATAGTTTCATATAAATTCTTGCCTTATGTCAAACAAAGTTTACAGTTAGTGTTTTTGACTGTAATGTGGTACAAAGCAATTTGTAAAATAATTTTCAAATATGAAGTAACATATTCCTGTTTTGCAGTAATAGATACAAATCCTATTTCTGTCTTCTGTTGTGTGATTTAAATTTTTTAATTAAAAAATCATAGCGTTTTTAGAATCTCTTCATTTTATTATTCTGCTTCTATCTCATCTCTTGACTTTTTCCTCCCCAAGCCTTGAGTGTCCTCCTTCTCTGACACTAAAGTTTCCCTCTGAGTTGAGAAAATATTATTCTTAGTCATATTGCTTATGGTTCTGCTTTGACTTTCAGACCTATCGGCCATGATATTAAAAGAGGAGAATGTGTTTTGGCCAAAGGAACCCACATGGGCCCATCAGAGATTGGTCTTCTGGCAACTGTAGGTGTCACAGAGGTTGAAGTTAATAAGTTTCCAGTGGTTGCAGTCATGTCAACAGGGAATGAGGTAAAAAAAAAAGCGGGGAGGAGAGGCTTTCAGATAAAAGTATTTCTGACATCTGTTCTGTGTTGTAAAGAGAACATTGTGGATTATATATCTTACCACATTCCTGTAACAGGAAAATAATAAATTGGCCTCAAGATAGTTCAAGTACAGAAGATGTAAAGAAGGAAGAACTAGAAATTATGTATTAAGAAGTGTTCCCGGGGCTGGCCCAGTGGCGCAAGCGGTTAAGTGCGCGCGCTCCACTTCGGTGGCCTGGGGTTCGCTGGTTCGGATCCCGGGCACACACTGACGCACTGCTTGGCAAGCCATGCTATGGTGTTGTCCCATATAAAGTGGAGGAAGATGGGCACGGATGTTAGCCCAGGGCCAGTCTTCCTCAGCAAAAAAAGAGGAGGATTGGCAGATGTTAGCACAGGGCTGATCTCCTCACACACACAAAAAAAGAAATGTTCCCTTCCATTTATTAGAATGAAATATTACAACTAATGGCCTTTCCACACACTTAGTACATATAAACAAAGAATGTCGACTATTAGCTATAGATATTCAACTGTGCAAACTCAGTGCTTAGTCTGTTAGGACAATGAATTGTACCCACTCTGCTGCTGAGATGATGCGCCACCTAAGTGTGGGAAGTAATTCAATGAATCAGGACACCATGGCTAACCCTTCTTCTTGCTAAAAGTTCCAAGTGATCTTTAATCACCAGGAAGGATTTGAAAATCAAGTTTGTTTGTTTTTTTCTAAAGATAGCATCTCTAGTGGCATGCTATTCAGAATGTGTTGAAGTATCATTTCAGCCTTGATTTAGGAAGGGGAATTCAGTCAATCTTTTTGAGAACTCTTGAAAAATCTCCTGTTCCTCATTTTGCTTAGGTTATACAGAACTTCAGTTGGAGGCTCTAAGGTTAAACTGGGAATATTGAAAAGTGAAATTCAAAGCCTACGAGCAGAATGAAAAACTACTGAGATTTTTTTAAAATAATTCTTGTAGACCTTACTATTTAAAAAAAGATTAACAGGATTTCTTTTTTTTCTTTTTTAATCTCTAACTTTGTTCTGAAAATAAGCCATTTTTTGTTACCATTAATGGTAACAATAATGTTACCATTATTTTTAATTTCTTAAAGTCTTAGAAATGAACATTTTCAAGGGCCTCTCTTAATTACTGTTATAGTTCTTTTAGAAAGGGCAAAAGAAAAGAATGGAATATTTTTTGTTAATGGAGAGATAAATCAACATTCTAGATTTGCTTACTTCCCAGTATAGGTGCACTAGTCATTCCCTAAAACTATTAATTGACTCAAAATAAACATTCTTTTCAACTGATCTATGTAGTGAAGATTTTAGTATCCCTAGGACCAACTGACACTATGTTTAGCATCAGAAAGAAATTTCTGTTAAACTGATTGACTTAATTAACTGTTCTTATTTGTGATTTATTTATATGCTTTGTGCATCTAAATGAGTTCATGAGGTTTGGGAAAGCTAAAGAGAATGAGCAAACTCATAAATAACTAGTTATTAGGCAACATTGTTTAAGTTATATTTCTTGTATTCTTAATGCTTTTGTAGAGCTGGACAAATATTCCCAGTTATCCCCCGGAGTACATTGGTAGTATTTTTTTAAAGCTGTCTTTTACACTTTTTACTAAAACTATTTACTAGTGGTAAGGAAAAGTGATGGGGTGAGAACAGAGATGGTACTTACATCATGGAATCTAAGGAAAAATTTGTAGTCCTAGTTCCCTGCCCCCATACACTTGATTATTCTTAGAGAGGTTATGAAAGATTCTGTATGACTCCCTTCCCCTACTTTCTCTGGCCTGCTGTACTTACCATGGTTTTCCAAGGGAATAATGCTTCTAAATTTTATAGTCTCTGGTTCCATATAGCTTGACATTCCTCCCCTACTCCCATCCAAAGTTAGCTGTTGTTATGACTCTCTATGACCATATAGTTTAGTTAAACAAATGTTTATTGGGTACCTCTTATGCTAGGCACTATACTGGAAACTAGGGTAAAAGAGATTAAAGCATATTATCTCTCCTGAAGGCTTGAGATTCTCAGATAGCCAGAAAACCATAGAAAAGAATCATTTGTTTTCAGAAAGGCCAAAAGAAATTACATTTGTCTGTTAATGTGGCAAGTCTATAATTTAGTCACTCACAGCACAAGCTCCTCTTAAGTATTAGTTATGATTACCCCTGATGTATATGGCTTCACATATGTCCACTTCTTGAATCCATTATGGTATATTGGTAAGCAGAACAGTCGCCTTGGGCAACCCAAAGAATGCCATACGAGATGTCTGTGTATACTATATTTAAAACTTGCACAATATTTTGTGACTACGTGAGCTTGTTCAGGATGAGGGAATTATTTCAAAATTGGGGAGGTACAGTTATGAACTATAGCAAATGCAGAATAGCCAAGGTAGACATATGTTGACTTCCACAAACTACGCAAGTTAAAATTTAGCTAATACCAGTAATTATATAATTGTGGGCGTATGTTTCCAGCCTCATGCATTTGTTCAATGAATATTTACTGAGCATCTATTACATGCTGGAATGCCCACCAGGGGTTCTTTTAACTAAACATCAGACTTACAAAATGTGAATACACCATACCTTGAATCAATTTCCTTAGAAAGATATTGAACAGGAATTTATCCAGCAGGGCAGCATCAGGCTTTCTTCTGTGGGACTATTCCTCTTAGCAGTGCACACAGCCATCCAACAGCTAGCTGTTCTCTTTGTTCTTCAAGTGGCATTCAGGTGCAAGGAAACAAGAATTATACTAGGAGAGTATGGGAGCCACCAACTTAGAAGCTCCATGTCCTACATAGGAATCAGTATTTCTTATAATAGTCTTAAGCAGCTTCCAAGGTCCCCACAAGGAAAATGCCTGCTTACAAGTGTCACCACATACATGGAAGCACAAAAGCATGGCTTTCCACTAGGTATTTATAGTTCATTTATAGTTCCTTCTAGTCCATATACAGGTTACCAAGCAGAGATCATTTTTACCATAAGAAATGTTGCCTAGCAACAAGCTGACATTTCACGTTTATCAGATTTCCAGAGGAACAGAGCTAGAAAGTTAACCCAATGTCAAATTTGTCCTTAGAGATAGAGAAAGGGTTTTGTTAATCCTTTACCCTCATGTGAGAGGATGCATTGTCTGTAGAAAATTAGAAAACAATAATAAAACTGACTACAAGTCATTCTGCTTTTTATTCTCACCATGCACTGGCAATTCTAAATAATGTCAGTGATAAAATATTCCTCTCCACTGGGACAGACCAATCCCACCATTCCTCCTCTCTTAGTATGCTGCCATACTGATGCCAGGCACTGATGTGACTACTGGGGATATAGCAGCAAGACAGACAGACAAATTCCCTGCTCTTACAGGATTTATATTCTAATGGTGGGGATGGTCAATAAACAAATAGTGGTGAATGGTATGAAGAAGAAAAAGAAGGGCAAGATAATAAAGAGCAGGGGTAGAAGAGACATATGCCAGATATTATCTGTTGAAACTTACCCCACATCGGCACTTTTATACTCTCCCCTATACAGTAAGCCTGGAAGCCTGGAAGCTTGTTTTCCCAGGCTCTCTTTCCAGCTGTGGTCCAGTTAGGTTTTGCCATTGGGATGCATTAACATGATATTAAAATGTGGAAAGAAGGTAGGAGAAGTATAAGCTCCTCAACTCTCAGTTTCCTCACTGTCCTCCAACAGCCCTGCGGATAACGGTGACTTCCTGATCTTTAGTAACACACTTTTCTCCTTTTGTTTCTCCAACTCTTGCAACACACATTTGTAACCAATTCCCTATATTAAATTCTCCCTTCTCCCACCCCACCCTCCATTTGAAATACCTAGAAGAGGTTTGATTTTCCTGTCCAGATCTGAGTGATAGAGTCTTCTGTTTTATATAGGGTAAGCAGGCCTCACTAATGAGGTGAAATTAGAGTGGAAATCTGAAGGCATTGAGGGTGTATGCGCTGTGAGAGGAATTGTGTTCCAAACAAAGAGAACAACAAAGAAAAGCCCTGAGGTAGGGTGTGTGGTTGTCATGTTTGAGGAACAAGGAGGTCAGTGTGGCTGAAGTAGAGAGGAAGGAGCGAAGTAAAAGGAGATGAGCTTGGAGAGGTAACAGAAACAAGATCATTTGATTCTGAAATGCCAGTTTTGAGGAAAGGAAACATAATGTGGAACATAACAAGTTTTAAATTTTTAAATGTTTACTCTGGCTTTTATACGCCATGGCATATTGGAGGGAAAAGGGGAAAGAGCAGGGAGGCTAGTTAGAAGGATTTGCAATACTCCAGCGAGAGATTTGGACCAGAGTCATAGCAGTGGAGATGATGAGAAGTAATCAGATCCAGGATATATTTTGAAGATAAAGCCAACAGGATTTGCTAGTGAATTCTAAGTAGAATATAAAAGAAAGTAAAGAGTCAAGATGAACTCCAAGATTTTGGCCTGAGCAATTCTAAGGATAGTTATCATTTACGCAGATAAGAAACATTAGGCAGTAGATCAGAGATTCCATTTTGGACATGTTAAGTTTGACATACTTATTAGAAATTCTGGTAGAAATATTGAGTAGACAATGGAAAGTATTAGCCTGCAGCTTAGGAGAAAGATTAGTTAAGGACATACATTTGGAAGTTATCAGTATTTACATAATATTTAAAATCATGAGACTAGATAAAGTCACTTAGGAAATGAGTATAAATAGAAGTTAGGAGATGCAAGTTTTACACTTAGGAGGCAGCTATATCTTGCTCGTCTTTGCCCAACCTTTATATTTCCCAATTTTATTTTCTAATTTGACTCTTGATCACCTCTCTTTATTCATAAAATACATTCTGATCCCCTTGAAACTTTAGATGGTAGCCCACAGGTCTTTATCTGAACATCAGTCAGCCAGCTGCCATTATCTTCAGGAAGACAAGATTGTACACTTGTTATCTAGTTACCCAA